CCATTTGATATATATATATATATATATATATATATATATATATATATATAAACTTTGATTATCTTTCTAATAATGCATTCATCCCTCTTATCTCATCTTTGCATAAAATGTAATGCCGTTGGTATTATGTTCTAACCTGGGGTGTGCGATAGACTTACCTCCACGTGGTGCACCCTGGGCAACGTATACTCATACGGCAAAAAAGTCTATTACCTGGCAGTTGACCTACGACTTTAAACTACCATGAACCCACTGTATGTCATATTTGACTACTTCTACGGTACTCATCTCACCTTTTTTCTACCTTCGTCTTTGAAACACTCTTCTATTCTCCCCCCTCCTTAACTTTTTGTCACTTTGATGCTCCTTCCCCTCTGTGAAACCTGAAGTCAACTAAAGGGCAAATGATAACCATCAAACCGCCTGCCATTTGATATAAATAAACAAATGTTCTAACCTCAACTTATTGCTTTCAAGATCTGTATATGACTTTTTCTCAGTCGTTGTCATCGGTTCTACCTGCACTCCAAACAAACAAAAAAATGCTATTTTTCAGTCGGAAACTATTTATTTCCTTTCTGGCAGTGTTGAAATTGTGGCTTAAGTTGAGGTAGATATTTCTTTCCAAATTTGGCTTTAAAAGTTCGTTCCGTTTTTGTGTGACCTCTAAGAGTACTGTCAACCGCTTAGGGTATTTACTTCCTTAATTTAGTCACACGCCAATCACCCCATTGCCACTGATTTGCCTTTTTAATGATTTATGTTTATTTACATACTTGCAGGATATAGAACTACCCGAAGATCTCTCACCAGAAATGTACAGTCTCCTTTCAAGTCTTCTGGCCCGAGATGTTGATCGGCGTTTGGGTTGCATGGGTCGGGGGTAAGTTATGGGTCTCTTTTCCTTGTGTAATTGTCACCATAGGAGGTATTTCCCTGCACCCTTTTTGTTCACTCTGGGCATGCTAACAGATCTATCAGAATGAATAAAATAGGGACAATTAGGTGATTGGCAATGTCCCTCTGATGAAACACGATAAAATTGGCATTTGATAGCCAAATCACCAACTGAGTCAACCTGTCTAAACTAACTATCTGGATGTCAAGACCAAAATGCGCTCACATGTCTTCTATCAATGATACAAAATATTCATGAGTAATGCAAACATCCTATCTTAATTGCCATTTTTGACGCTAAATTAACGAAATGGAATCCCCCTCCCAATTTTGGAAGGGAGTTTCCATACACAACATCGCCTTTGTCAGAATTGACTAACGAAGTTAACCACCCACCACGACAGACCTTCATTGAAGGGCGGAGATTAAGCAGACACATCGGTTGACCATTACGCTACCAGAGTCCAATAGATTGAAATGATAATTTAATTTCATCCACCATTGTGTTGAGATGGTCCTTACCATTCACGGTTGAAGGATTTACTTTGTAAGGGGTGTGTGTGTGCGTGTGTGTGCGTTACCCTACAATCGATTTGCCTTGTTTCTTTAAGGAAACAATAATTTTCAGCAAACATTTGTCGAAAAAATCAAATGTTTTCTTCCAATGTTTCTTGTTCTTGCACATATATATTTTTTTCTAACTTAATTAAGAAATCGTGTTACAATATTCGTTTGCCACTAAACTGGAAGTAAGCGAATCTGTGCGAAAGCATACCTTCCATGGCAACTCTGGATGAAGATATAAACGAATTGAATAAGACAAGCAACGTTTTGAGTTATCCTATTAGCAATTCAACCTTACTCATTCCAAACATGTATTAATCAGACTTAGAAATGGACATTCTTGACAATTTAGGCGTTTGATAGTAGTGAATTATTAATCCCATTTACGATTCACAAAGTTAAATGCTTTTACAACAAATATGGTAAAATTGATCTATCCATTAATAGCATGAAATGAATACCCCGTAGTGCAGACTTATTAAGCACCAATGCAACCATTTTATAACTCCAGTATGATGGGAGGGTGGGGGGGGGGGGGGGGGGGGGGGGGTTGAGTTGGTGGCGAATAGTCTGTCAGCAATTAATTTTGTCGCGTTTATTTGCCAAAGTAATCATCTCCCAGCTTCAATCTATGGGAGAGGGTGGATCAATTTTAAGCACTTGTCGACATTTGCTTGCCAGTTAACAACAAAATAGAACCCTCAAAAATTTTTATTTTCACTTTGGTAGGGTGACAGCCCAATTGATTGGCCCAAAAGACATGGCCTCGTCACATTTAACTTATGCGTCCATTGGTTTGTTGTGCTCTCATACCTTTCATATTTTTGTGCAAATTAGAATTAAATTGGCGGTTAAAAAAAGAAGTGCTGATTTTTTGTGTTTGTCCTATTTTGTAGAGCGTTTTTGGAATTTGATAACTAACTTAAACAATTCTTGTTGCTTTATTTAACTTCACTAATCCCTATTTGAATGATATGCAAAATTTTGTTTAATTTGAGCTTAAAAATTATTGAACTCCAGAAATAATTTGATTATCCCTAAGTTCAAATGCCCTGTAGGAAGAATTTTGCTGATAAGCACGTTTTTTATAGTTAATCAAATTGAATTCTGATTGGCAGCACTAACAAGTAATTTCAGTAATTCAATTCCGCATATTAACTAAGCTAATCTACAATTCAATAAGTGATTAATTGTTTTTGAGTTATAATATTTCAGGACCTCGAAAAAGTCTTGTATTTATTAAAAGTCGATTTGGAAATCAGATTGCAATATTTTACGTTCATAATACTCGTACTAGCGCAATGTAATCAAATTCATTTATTTTTACCTTGAAACTCTTGAACCATTTAATTCTCTTGAGGTTTTTCAAGGAGAGGGAAACGCTTTGATGGAAAAGTTATGAAGGACGAATAATTTCAATAGGCATGTTGAAGCTCTACTTATTGTGTTTGTATGCATGGAAAGGTGTTCACTACTTATCATTAAATCCTTAAGTATTGAAGTGTCAAGGTCACTTTCCTTGGCATAATTTACTTAAATGGCAATGTTTAACTCGTACTATGTGTAATTGAGATAAATTTTTACTAAATATACTATTAAGATATGAGCGTTGTGGGGAGGACGGAGGTGGGGGGAGGGGTGGGTGTTGAAAGGTAAAACAGGAAGATTTCAGTCTTGAGATTCAGCTTTCCACCTTGCTTTCGTTGTCCTTCATTCGTTGCTTTCATTCCTTAAGATTTGAAGGAAGCAATGTGGTCGAAAATTTTGGCTTTCAAGAATGAGTGTGTACATTTGCTTGAATTGTCTTAGTATCATTTAATTCGAAGTTTTCTGACACAAGTATAACTTGGAGTGGGGTCCCCTAATGGCTGCAGCTTTGGAGATCAGCAAATTATGGTTTAACATTTTCACGACAAATGCGCTGATTAATAACATTCTGAGTTTCCCTATCCTTTTAGCACTTCGTAATAAAATTTCCCACGACACTGCATCCTTATTCTCCTGAATGTTAGGCAAGACATATTGTCTTTGTTGTTTTTCTTTATTTCCTGTTTTCAGTTAGGGATATAAATGCGTCTCCAGAGGTGATTTCGCTTACCATTTCATTCTCGAAAACTATGAAAGGAGGTGGTGGGGGGAGGGGGGGGGGGTTAATTCCAGTGCAGCATACATCAAGTGTTTGCGGTTTGAGGAAGGTGGATGGCCAATCAAATTCGAGAAAGTAAAGCAAGTCTTTTCAAACTGCTCTCCTCTTTCCTACCACTCTGTCCAAACTCATCTCCTTAAATATGTTAACATTTCTGAAGACTAACATTTGCTCATTTTAATGGGAAAGCACTTTCATAAGAGAGCTCCTCAACTAATGTGTGTAATGTTACTACTAACATTATCAAATTTCGAATTGATTAGAAAATTCGTACGAAAATGGAGAGGATGAAGGCCAATTTTTCCAGAACTCCAGAAAAGAACGTAAGACCCTTATACCCACATATCTGTTCACCTCTTGGCAATTTGCGTAGTCAAATGAGCTTTTATTTGTTGATTAAATTAGAAAATTCAATTGTCTTAAATATGGTTTCACTTTCATTACTTTTGAGATTTTTGTTAGTAGTTGTGATTAACTAACAAAAAGTATGCTTACTAAAATATTGCAAGAATTTCAACTGCTATTTCATTAATTATTGATTTGTATTGATTCCTCCTCTTCAGTTCCTTTGAAGTGCGGGAGCATGAGTTTTTCACGGGTATAGATTGGCAGCTGGTCTACCATCGCAAATACACCCCTCCACTTATCCCTCCACGTGGAGAGGTCAACGCGGCAGATGCATTCGACATTGGATCCTTTGATGAAGAGGATACGAAGTATATCAAGGTAAATTTCGTCATTAGAATTCGAATTTTATTTTACACTCACAAATTTATATTGGACAACCTTTTTTACTTCAAAATCGGCAAGTAGCTCATTTTCCCATGCGACCATTTAAAGAACTCACCCCTTAGAGGAATGGCTGCGAGCTTGCATTTACGGTTCATTTACACCGTGTGAGAAAGAACTGTTCAAGTTACAATTCACTCAGCTCGCTTTTTATCCCTTTGGATTGTCATTACTATTTCATGGTGGTAGAGTCATGTTATGTTGCCCTAAAAATTTTATAAATCTATTTGCATTTCTCCCACCACAGAATTGCTTATGAAAGAGTGAATCTCAGCTTTTGTTTATGGAATCGATAACGCATTCGGGATTCAGGTGGAATTAAGTTGTCAATGTTTCGGTCGATAGTCTCCATTCTCATAAACCTGAATCAGTCCAATTTGCAGAAATCGATGAATCAATACGGAGTTGTGTTCACAAAAGTTTTGCTTACGTTTAAAACTTGCCATATTTGGGGGGGGGGGGGGGGGGGGGGGNCTCAGGCTCTCAGATTAGTTTCCCCCCCCCCCCCCCTCCCTCTCCTACCAGCCCGCATTTTCTTTCAGGCTCTTTTTTATGAAATTCGTAAAAGCAGTAATTTGGCCTCTTTGATAATAAAACTCGTTGCATTAGTCCTGTGCATGGTAGCCCAGCATTAAGCTCTTGCCTAACGCATATGTTCAGTAAGAGAGTAAGTTAATTAAATATCCGTTTGCTGATTAACTTATAGCTCAGAGTCAATTAAGGTGATAGCCAATAAATCTGAGATGCAGTATTAGCTGAATGAATTATTCCCCACCCCCCACCCCCCCTAGTACTCTTCAATTGGACATGTTAACCACCTCTTCGCCAACTCACATTACGCTGGATGATTATTAAGTTTATTTTAAGTCAATATATATCCTCAAATAATATGACATAAAAATGAACTCAATCAAACTCCCGATTGAATGCACATTTAAATGTTGAAATTGATTTTTGCGGCTCTCATATTCCTATTTAGTTGAAAAAAAACTCATGCCCTTTAAGGACAGAAAGGGGAGGGGGAGGGGGGAGGGGGAGGGGGTCATGACCTTATTTTAACTATCCCACGGCTATCAACACTTACTGCCTTTTTTCTGCCCTCTAATCAACCGTAGCCTTCGGCTATTTTGGCCAAAATTAAAGTACAAAGTGGCCATTTTCGTTGCCTCACTGACAGATGCAATTAACCTTCAATGAAATGACAGTTGTTAATGGCCCATTTTGTGATTCCAAAAATTTGAACTGTCAATGGATCACAATTTTACTTGCGCCAATTCCAATTCTCTCATAACTAAAATTTCCTCCTCTAATTTTAATAGTGGTTTTGTTATTTAATTTATGGTAATTAAAATGAAGTGCAAAATGCCGTTAATGTAAGGCAATCTACGTTACGCCGCGTTATTTGTTGCTGCATTGTACGCAATTTCATCTACTTATTTATTGATTTCAAATGGCAGGCGTTTTGATAGATATCATTAGCCATTTAGCTGACTTCGGGCTTCACAGAGGGAAGGTTCATCAAAGTAGCAGAAAGTCGAGGGTTGGGGAAGAGAAGAGCGATTCACAGATGTAAAAGAGGCAGACAGACACAAAGGTTGAGAAAAAGGTAAGGTGAGTACAGCGAAGGGGTCGAATATGACAACCAGGGGGGTCATAGTAGTTTGAAGTCAGAAGTCAACTGCCGGTTAATAGACTTTTTTGCCGTATGAGTATACGTTGCCCAGGGTGCACCACGTGGAGGTAAGTCTATCGCACACCCCATTTCATCTACTTTAAAGCGCAACAATATCGATTGCTTTTACAATGCTAAATGAAATTAGAGGTGAATGCGCAATACCCCTATTCGATTGGTGGTCTTAAAGAATTGTTCTTTTGTGGCCGACACTGAAGACGATTGAGTAGAGTTCTGTTTTTCAGGGCCTGAAATCATTCCCAATGGAAATAGGTTAGCGTTCTAGGCATCAGTAACGAGGCGGTGCTATTGACGAAGATATCTGAAATGTGAGAAAAGAACTTAACTATTTTGCAATCGGTTTGAGTATTGTAAAACGCATATTCTAGATAAAGCACTTATCAAAAGAATTGACAAAGTAAGATTTTATTCATGTGCCTCAATTTGAGACTACAGAGTTCTCCACGTATATCGACTATTTATTGTGAGATGGCGTAGAAAGAATTTATTCCAATAAGGAAGTCTCCACTTTCAAGACAAACGCATTCGGAGACGTGGTAGATAGTTTACCCAAGAGTCAAGACTGAAATCACTATGTTTGATAGTAGTGTGCATCATTTTATTGCCCTAAGTACATTTATTTATATTTATGTCAGTTATCATTAGATCTTTAGTTGACTTCGGTCTTCACAGAGGGGATGAACTTCAAAATTACACAAATTCGAGAGGCGAAACAAAACAGTGATTCACAAATGTAAGAGAGACAGACACAAAGGTATGGAGAAAAAGGTAAGGTGTGGTGAGCACTGTGGAAGTTGTCGAATATGGCATACAGTAGGGTCATAGTAGTTTGAAGTCAACTTCTGGTTTATAGACTTTTTGCCGTAGGAGAATACGTTGCCCAGGGTGCCCCACTTGGAGGTAAGTCTATCATGCGTCCCTCAAACACGAACGCGCCTCGACGTAATCCAACTTTAGTGGTCGGACTAGAGCCGGTGCCTTCTAAGTGGTATGGTTTAACGTAAGTGTTCAAATTGTACAATTGTCAATCGAACTATTACGTTTAAACAAGAAGAACTAAATCAGTTTATTTGAATTAAATTATTTAAACGTTAAAATATGTCAAGATATATTTGAGAAAGTGGTTTTGTCTTTCTGTTTATCCTTCAGAGATCTGTCATTTTTCAGAATGGTTGTGGCACTGAATTTTCATCTACCAAGTCGCTAATTTGCAATATAACAAGTTAAACCAGTTTTACCAAAATGATATTTTTCCTTGCTCATCGATAATTTCTTTGCTTTTTAAGTTAACGGAAAGTGATTTGGAACCCTACAAGGATTTCCCTCTGGTAGTATCCGAACGTTGGCAACTGGAGATTGCAGAGACAGTCTTTGACGTAGTGAATCAGGAGACTGATCGAATGGAAAATAAGCGCCGGTCCAAACAATCACAATCACAGCAATCTCAATCTTCCTCCAGTTCTTCAGCCAACACTTCCAGTACTTTGCTGACTCCACCACACGTTCCTTCTTCCTCTTCTTCGAATAACCACAAGAGTTCGGAGAGCACGGGTGGCGAGTCCTCTGTGGACTCGTTAAATTCAGACTGCATCGTTGAGGGTGATATTCTCAAATTGGTTGGACCCTTCTTTCAAACCTGGCAGCGAAAATTCCTTCGACTCTTTCCCAATAGGCTGGAGATGTATAGCAAGTCGAGAGATGGCACTGTGGTGAAGAAAGGCGTTGAGGTGGGTCATACTACCTATTCATTTAAGTAGACTTACTGTTTTATGCAACCTATTATCACTAACACTGCTAAGAGAATATGAAAACACATTGAGGCACATTTTTCTTAAGCATGAACTTTTACATAAGATTTTTTAACCTACATTCTGAATGCTTTTTTTCCGTCTCCTTTTAGCTTATATCCATGGTGGATATTCGAGAAATCTCGCCAACTTTCCAAAGAATGTATAAAATGGATAACTGCTTAACAATTGTGCTAAAGAATGACTCCAAGATCGTCATCACGTCAAGTGTAAATTACTATTAGTAATTGCTTAACACCCTGCAAAATTAATGTACTTAATAGTACCTGTGCCAATGGAATTAAGGGGGTAATTTTTTGTGAACTGGGGGGGGGGGGTATGGAGGTTACGTTTAGAACTTTTTCCCCATTCAAACCTTAGCTCAAACTATGCAATTTGTCTATTTTGCTATACGTCACTATTAATATCATCCCTAAATCTCCCCCCCCCCCCCCAGGNCCCCAAAACCCCCCCCCCCCCCCCAAGGATCGAAGGGTATTACATAAAGTGGACGCTCAGATGTGTCGATATTTTTCCACGACTCAAAGAGCTAAGAACACTGGGTTAGATGAAATTGTTGTCGGTCGAATATTAGCCACTTCTCAGTAGTTCCAAGGCAGCGCTTCCTTTTCTGCCTGCATTTGCGTGGTGTTGAAATGATGCTTTGTACTATTCTTGGAAATACATATAGCGTTTGTGTAATGTTTTACCGTTTGATATACGAGATTCCATTGTCTTGGTATTTTAGTCCTAATAGACCCCTAAGAAGATTTCCTTTGTACCTCTCACTTCCTATTTAAATCATTTAGGTAAGTTAATATTAGCGTGATATACCTTAACTTTAAGGTTTCAAATGCTTTTCTATTGTATTTCACATTGGATTGAGTTTTCCTTTTATTTCAATAGGATAAGATTTTAATCAACCAATGGAAGGAAGAAATAGAGGAGGCCTTCCAAATTTCCAACGAGCTGATTTCAAATCTAAATAAGAAGGCTCATAAAGTTTACGGAGCTGATTCGCCTCCACTTCAGCCTTCAACTCCCGATCAGATCGCAATAGGTCGTACACCCACAAAGAGTGGTGGCTCTAGTACAGAGTCCTCCAGCTGTCAAGGCCTTGTGCGACAGACTACCGTCCCTGTAACGACCTTACAAAAATCTCTCACGAAGCTCTACTCCATCACAGCAACAAGTTCGACAAGCAGTGGGATGACAGTCACCTTCGATAAATCCCCTGCACGATCACAGACAGCTGAACCAATCACTGAGAAGGAAGCTGATAGTGATGCCTGTCAATCATTAACAAGAGGCCAATCGTGATTATTTTGGAACACATACTTTATAAGTACTGCTTTCCCGCGTCCTCATTACTCCATGAGAGTGGTTTGAAAATTCATCATCGAAAAAAACCGAGTGCAATATAATACCTATGTCTCGATCTCTACCTACACATTTCTTCTTCTCTTTGCCACACATGACATCAAGCAATGCCCGCTCTTTTTCCTCTCCTTCCTTTTATCTTCCTGTTTCTTTTACCTTCACTACTTTGTAATAAAGAATCCGTGAAAAGTGTTGTTTCAGACAAAAATCCTAAGTTAAAGGAAGGGGGGGGGGGGGTTGGGTTTGAGGAAGAGCAAGTAACTTGAGATTAGTTGCATATTAACTCACAAATTATCGTTCACTTTAACTAAAGCTTTTATTCTAATTGATTAAATTTTGTTAAAATTATCATTACATGATCAAATAAAAAAATTTGGATATTGAAAATGAAAGAATGACAATAAGAGTATAGTTTTACATTTATATTTGAATATCAATTAATATTTTCATATTTTTTTCAAATACTTTCTGCGCTTTTTACCTTTCGAAAGTTAAAATTCGTAAATTATTATGATGGTTAATTAAGTTCAGATAAGGTTATATTTGTTCGCTGTTACATTTCTATCTAAATTTCCTATAATAACTTTGATAATCCAAAGTGCCATATTGTCTTCTCTCAGTGACCTATCATTTAATTTCTTGAACCTAATGAAAAATAAGCACTCAATTGCAAGCGACCATCTAAAGACATTTTGACTTAGCTCGAAACGAAACACCCTGTTACCAAACTGTCGGCCTTTAATTTTCCCAACTTTTATTTGTAAAGGCAATATGCAACGAATTCAAAGGTATTGCTTGTTGTCAAAAGGCAAATTGTACACAAAATGAATTTTCCGTAAGAAAAGTTATAGATTCAAAAACAAAGTTTCCCTCAGATCATGAGACAGATTGGGAAAACCTTCTCAGTACGCGCAGGTTGATATAAATGAAATTAAGACAATGGAGACGGCAAATTAAAGCTCAACACAACTTTTTGCATGAATAGATTCAATAACGAAATGCATCTGTATGTATGGAAGATACGCACAGATTTTAGATGTGAAACAAACATATAATTATATAATGTTAATTTTCCCAAGCAAATCGCATTTGAAAATGCCTCATCATACCATAATAAGACATTTCAAAATTACAATTCGAAACATTTCAATTCATCAATCGATGTTATCTAAAGTTTGCCTCATAATTCTAAAAATGCTCTAAATTTCCAATTTTACTATAGCGCGAATATAATATTAGCGGTAGATTCAAAGAAAATCTGAAAAAATCAACTTTAAATAATTTCGTTCGTGAAGAAAACAGTTAAAAATTTAATTAATTTATTTATTTTTACTTAATTAATGAAGTTGCATAATAAATTATTGTGAGTATTTTACTAAGCCACATGTAGGTTGCGAAGATCGAATTTTCGTTAGCGAGTTTGTGCTCATGGGTGATATTTGCCCCGTTTGTCGGGATTCAGGGGTAATATCCCCTTTGTATAGTTTTTCCAGTTCATCTGAAACCCTTTCCAACCTTTGCTCAAATGCTTCGTGCTCCTATCCTTTCGAATCCTATGATGGCTTATTGAGTTCTCTTCAACAATCATCTGCAGTGAATTGTGTCTTCGATTCTTCCCTAGAATTAAATCTGGACTTTTTAGAACTACCAGAATCGGATGGCAGTTCTACCAATGTCCAGAATTCAAGAACACTTGAGCAGTCAAGTTCATGTGTAAATAATGTAAATACCAAACCTTCTATATCACAGCATCAAGGACAAAAACCTTGCGCCGTTCTGCCAAGGTACCTTATAGAATCAAATAATGATGGTATGTTTTTGTGAGCTTATTAATTATTGCTGTTCCACCGGTCATTTATAAATTTTATTTTGAAATGCCTGCAGCTGGTTTGACTCCTCGTGAATTTTCTCACAGTCCAGACAGTGATAGTGGAATTAGTACAACTTCTGCGATGTCGAATCTCAGTTACAAAGAAGTACTAACCTTACGAGCCCAAAAGTCAAAAAATGTAAATTCCGTCGCAAGGCCTGTTCGTCCAGTCTCGCTGCTTGAGCGGTATTGTTTAAAAAATGCATCAGGACTATCCTCATAATCCTGCGCTTTACAGATTGCCCTCATGTACATATTTCGTTATTTTCTTACATTCAATCGATGAATTGTAATTGCATGGTCATTTTATCAATTCAAAGGTATAAAACAAGATTTTTGCTATTGTATTTGTCTCTCTTTGCTTGAGTTGATCTTTGTATATATATATATATATTATAGGTAAGCAGCTGCTTGATTAATGTGTAGTATGGGGTTCTCGTGTGATTCCTGTAGGATTTTTTGCGTGCCACGTGTACCTTTAATCTTCCATTTGTCAAATTTTATTTTGGTTCTCTTTGGTCGTTGAATTTCGGAAGTCATTGAACGTGGGTTCGAGATTTTCATCTCAATTTTTGCATGTTCTGCTCATATGTGTTTCCATGTACCCTTTTTCAATCGCAATTTCTTCTAATATCCTAGTTTATATCAATTAGCCAAGAACTATGATACTGGAGTTTCTTTTATTAGTTGCTCAGTGATGAAGTCTGTTTCGCTTCCTTCATATTCACGATTCCCCCTCTCTATTTTCATATATATTTGCAAGCGCGAGCTACGCATTAAGCAGAGCATGTTGTGGAGTTATAAGCCGGTAAGTTGTGCTTGGGTGAACGAGATGTTGGAAGGAGAGTAGTAAAAGCTTAATTGGGGTCAGAGAGCTTTCTTAAAAATCGAGTACACGCATGTCAGGGGTGGGTAGGGTTTTACTTAGCAGACAGAGCAAACTTTGCATGCGTCAGGATAGTTAAAACGCTAGAGCTTTATAGATAGGAAGATGAATGTATTTCGAAGAGATCTTGAGGATTGACTGCAGTCATATCTAGTGCAAATTTCAACTTTTCTGGATTTTAATTGATTGGTTAGTATTCGATATTCCATCGGAATGGAGCTTCTCCATAAATCACAAGGAGAGGCAGGTATTGGTTAACTCGAAGTGAAATGTAATTCAGAAAATGTATTGGTTCGGTAATAGAGATTTTGTATTGGGGTTTCTTAAAGTATAAGCACGAGGGTTGATAATAAAGGTATTTTAATGACCACCAATGTATAGAATGCAGGTGTGCGCGATAGACTTACCTCCAAGTGGTGCACCCTGGGCAAACGTATACTTATACGCCAAAAAAGTTAATTTTTTCGGCAGTTGACTTCAAAATACCATGACCTTACAGTAGGTCAAATTCGATCAGTTCAACAGTACTCATCTTACCTTTTCTCAGCATTTGTGTCTAACTGTCGCTTTATATCTGTGAATCACTCTTTTTCCTCCTTCTCGAATTTTTCTCATTAAGATGTTCCTCCCCTCTGTGAAGTCCGAAGTCAGCTTAAGGGCAAATGATGACTATCAAAACGCCTACCATTTGAAATAAATAAATGTATATAATGCCGTTTAATTGCATGGAGTTTTATGGTAGTTATAAAGTCAGGCGATTTAATAGAAGTACTTTAAATGGAATTAGGCAGACTATAACGCATTTATCATCTGACTTCTGGAAAATAAAAACACCACATTCCATCAGTATATTAACTTAGAAATAATAGTTTTTTAGTAAATTTATAAGACAAAACACATAGAATTCATTTGGAAACGGAAAGAAATAGTTAAATTTTGTTTTACATTACCATTGAATGTGTATTAGCGTCTCAGCATTTATGAAAGTATATAAAATGTTTTCTCAAGAAAATCTTTTCGATAATGTTCTTAAAAAAAGATGGACCCAAATGGTACCTGACAATGAATCAGAAGTAAATGCTTTTGTTAATAGTATTCTTTAGCTTGTAAACAACCGAATGGCCCTCATTTTTAAATGGGTACAAATAGTTGATTGAATTATATTATCCTTTTTCAAGTTTTCTACGTGGACACCAAAACAACGATATAGATTTTTTAAAGGTCTTTTAATGCTGTTTTCTTGTGAGGAACGCTTGAAATTTTATAATTTTTTTAAAACGGTCGTGCCCAGCTCTTCTCTTGATTTTACTCGAATATTACCCAGGACTATTTCCTTGTACATACTTTCGTTTTTGGATCCTCAAAGTCTGTGTCGAGCTAGTCAGGTGTGTGTCTATTTAGCCTCTGCGATAGTATTCTTTTGTCCCACATATAAATATTTGTTCAATAATTTAAATAAAATACCTCCATTTTTTAATTACTTAAGGTTTCGCATTATTGGAAAATTTTATGCGAATCGAATTCAATTTGGGGACCAAAATGTATTCTTCTTGGTTGGAACCTCCCAAATAATAAAATAAAGCCGGATGCTGGCGCTTACAAGAGGTTATATATTGAAAATATGAGTAGTTTAAGAATAATCGACATACCATCAGTAAGTTATTAATGGAAATATACACAAAAATAAATCGCTTCTTTAAGTCAGAACTAAGAAAAATTAGGAGGAAAATCGCTCTTGATCAACAAAGAGCCAGAGAGGAAATGAGAAATCAGTTGACTTTTCAAGAAACGAGACAAAGAAAACCAATCGTCCGAAAAAAAAACAATTCTCGATTCTCCAAGGGTTCAGAGAGGACACTAAATACTAGAACACTAGAGAAGCGGATTGAAATCTCGAAATCTTCAGTTAGGTAAGGTGATCTCATTAGCACGGCGATTTTTTTTCAAGTTCGTGAACAATTTTCTTTAATTTTTCTCATCCTAATTGATTGATTAGAGGTTGTTCAACTTACACTATTCTCTCAAATAGTCGTTGAATTTTAATCTACATTTAGAGAAGAAAGGAAAAGTGCCATAAAAGGAGTTTATTAAATTAAATATTGCAGAATAGACAAAATATCAGTCGGAGAGCACATAGCATTGTCACAATTGAATAAATTATCTCATGCGCATCCAGACAGGCTTGAGGATACGGATGTGCAATTTTGCCTAAGGAGTAGGTACGGACATGAATGCGGGGAACACCTAGCCAACCGCTAGTCAATAGCCATTGTTTGCCTTAGCAAAACCGCGCCGTGTTAATATGATACACACAAATACTCCAAATAAACGTTCCACGTCATGCAATTATTTCCTCTATACCATTGCGGTAGCTTAGGTAATTCTGGGAGTCTTTCCAAACACAGGAGAAACTGTCATAGAGATTACTGAGCATGATCAGTGGTGTATACAAGAAGAGAATGGAGATCAGCAAACATTGGAGATGGAGAAAGTTATGGGAGACGCCTACATGGCAGGAATTATTAGGGTTGATTTTATCCCCGATCCAAGCCTCCCATGGGTTGGTTGTGCGCACACGTGGGTCATTTTGTATCTGTCAAGTTAATTTAAAAGTAATTTTATGTGACAGTCCAATAAAAAATTTCAGAAAGCATTCTGCTAACACAGAGAACATACTCCATGAAAGTTGTTCAAGCAACTCGATCGAGACCCACTTTGGAAAGCAAAAGAGTATGAAAGAGCGAATTGCTGAAGTTACTGAAAGATTATCTGCACCTCTTGAACGTCGCAGGAGAAATTCAATCCCTCATTCTCCCATTCAAAGTAAAACACGCAATGGAACAATTCAGAAACAACGACAATCGTCACTTCCAAGACGGAGGGTGAAATTACCGACTTCGATGATTGTTGCACCACCAGGACAACGATTTGAACCCCTTTCTCCTGAGGTTAGTATTAAAAATTACAAATAGTTTATCAATAGTATGTGAAATAAATCCAAGATATTTTGAGTTCAGAAGTAGGATCTGAATGAACTGAACATTTAGATCAATTTTTAAAAAATATTCGACGTTTTGTTTGAGCCTTGGTTAATTATCCTGAGTCATTCAGTTTGTTTTAGGCATAGGCCGTGAATTTGAGTTCAAACTTATCAACAAAGAACCTGATAATGGATGATGGAAAAACGATAATACAACTATTGTTTCTAAATAATTAGTGCAAAATAATGTTTCAGTACTTTTCAATGAGTAGTAGCACCTCTATACATCTGTTGTGGTGCCTAAAAAGCACTAGAGAAATTGGACATAATTTCAAAAATTGTCCAATGGGTGACAGCACATAGCAATTTATTGATTTCTATCACTATTATCGATTTTAATGCTTAAATTAATAATATTTTTTGTTTATTTAGTCAATCAAGGCTCTTCCATCACCTCCCATCTATAAACCCACAATGGAAATCGATAGAAATCTTGGGAAGAATTGGACAGCGAAACAACTGCAACTATTTGAATATATAAAAGATATACCATCTTAACTGTCTTTTTTATTTACTTGCACTTTGCATTCTACTTCTTCAAGTCTGTAGCGGTTTGCTACGCTAATAAAGCCTGACCGACTCAGAAATCTCTGCAGCAGATTTTCCAACGCCTAGCTAGACTCCCAGAACTAGCTAAGCTATAGCCCAAATATAGAGGAAACAGACGTATAGCACAGAAAACGTATATTCAGCCACGCAGCGATAAGGAAAGTTTCAACCAAACAAGCTTAGTCATGTTCAGCTTGGCTGCTCGTTGATTACTCTCCCTCTTTTCTACAACCTTACAATGGCTAAAGACTCAGAATTTGACAACACCCCAGGTTATCCTTTTGCCAATCCTATTTTCGATCTAGATTGTCCTAGCACTTGGTTTTTACAATTCGAAAACATTCTCATGGATCCATCGTGAATCATTTCAGCAATATAATCGCCAAGCAAGCAGATAATAATTCTTATGAGTGACTATGGCAAGCGGTACACTTCCTCTCGTGAGAATCACAAGTAGTACTTGGCCGCCTTGTTTTAAACATATGGCAGCTTCTGATTGGTCACTCGTATAACTGTTGTCTGCTCGGAAAGTTATACGGCCGCACGAAAATGCGATAATGTCTCCCACAAGTCCTACTTAAAGTGAGGAATTTTGTACAGTGCTGTAGAGGATTGCTACGCTATTAAGCCTGACTTAAGTCTCAGGAACCTTTTTGATAGATTCTCCTAATTACTGAGTCTCCAGAAGGAAGAGACGTATCACAGAAACGTTTATTCACCAGGTAAGGATAGAGAATTGTGGTTTTTTTGGCAAAGCGATCAGTTATCAGATAACTCTAGCATACTTCGCGTGAACATTAATAGCTAAATATTTGTGAGTAATGTTCTATAGCAGGATTTCTATATGATCATTGATGAAGTGTACCACAGTGCCATATGCGAGATTTCTAGCAAAATTTGTATGATGGCAAAATCCCTATCCTCATTGAATTTGAAAACTAAAGTTGAGCCTGCAGTGAAGTGGTTTTAGGGCAGAGAATTTAAATTTTAGGTGACATTAAATATACTACATGATCATTATGAATGTGTAATGCGTTTAAATTATTGGACCATTGTACTGAAAAAAAGGAATGAATTAAAACAAAAAATTACGTTATTATTAAATTTGTTATTTGGATCTAATTAAAGAGCTGATAGTTACGAAAAGTTAAAAAGACAGGGAGAGAACATAGTTTTTGCTGCAAAACGATGGAAATAAACTAAAAGTGGATTAACTATGAACGAAGA